CAGAGAACATTTTCACAAGAAGAAACCCCAGCATCTGCCAGATGCATTAAGGTTCAGAGCCAACTTGAATTCTTTGAAAGAGTCACACAGTCGTACCTTGTGTTGACTTTCAGACCTCGGCAGGAAAGATACTCGGGTGACATCTGATTTCAGGGGAAAGAGCATTTACAGACAAGCAATCAGTTTGAAACATAAAACGAAGAAGTCTAGGGACAGCCATTTGAGACAAGGGCTATGTAATAATCAACAATCAAGAATGGACTGAGCAAATACAACCAACAATCTAAGAAGTTAAAAGATGCTATTCTTAGCCAGCATTAGTATCAAGACATAGGGAGGCGAATGATCACTTGGCACAAACTTGTTCCCTGTTTAACTTAACTCTATCACAAGCTTGGGACCACACTCTTCAATACACTTTGTTGGGTTTTTTTGTCTTTTTCATGTTTAGCTCTTTTAAATTCCACACGGGCTCAATCCTGCACCCACTGAGGTCAATGGGAGTATTGCCATATGCTTCAATCGGTGCAATATCAGAGCCTCATTAGCTAGTGTTTGTGCTAACTATTGTTAATACTATTGTTATTAATACAATTTGTGTGATGATACAACTTACCAGAGCAGCCTGTTCTCTTCAGAGATTTTGCCTCACCTCCAATTCAATGCTAGTCCCTAATTCTCATTTCCTGGCCTCTGATTTTTCATCCCTCCCCTGTGTTGTTGTTTTTTTTAAACAAACACAGTTTGGGCCCAATTCAATTCCCAGTAAAATCAAGGAGAGTCTTCCCGCAGATTGTAATGGGAATTGGGGTGGGCCCTTTGATCCCATGTAAGGTGCTGGAACAGTATCCAAAGGTTCACAGAATGGGGAAAGGACAGGCAGTGGCAAGGGGAGCTCCATAACACTCCCCCATCAATATGCCAAAGTACCATCTCCAGGGATAAGAGATTAGTTAAGTCTCCATAGCCTGTTCACTCTTTGCCCTTTCCGCTGAGGCTGCTGAAGTCCAAAAAAACCAACCAACAAACAAAAAAGAACCAATGCTGGTGTGGAAGGGGGATGCGATGTGGACATAGGCCACCAGACAGCCATTGGACAGTAACATCTTTCAGTCACTCCTAGTGTTATTGGGTGTGTAAATACATAGGGTAGAAGCAATGAGCTCATCAGCAGGACATTGGGAACGATGCCAAATTACTGAACCACGGTGACTAGGGTATGATGATCAGACAAGTTGATGTCAGCCTGAAAAGGTACAGGTGGGTTTTGGACAGATGACATTTCAAAGGCCAGGGGTATAGAAGAGCAGTAAAGATGAACTGTGTCTGAGTGAAAAGGAGAAGGCTCTTGGTCCTCTAATTTTCCATAATAGCAACAAAATTGTTATACTGAGGATGAAGGAGATAAGATGTTTCAATGAACAGAGGATGGAGTCAGGAGGAGCCGGTGAGGATGTTCAAAGGCAATGCTGGCTCTTAGTGTATGAGTAGCTGTTATCCCAGTCAACAGCTGACATTACTGAAATCCTATTACTTGAGGATTTCCCTTCTCACAAGAACCTCTATCCTGCTAAAGCATTTCCTGGTCTCTCTTCTCTAAGGGGCCTGGAGGTCTCCACCAAAGTGCAAATTCCAAGAATCACCTGATTACTATTACAATCCCCCCCTCAAGGTGCCCTGGTGTCTGCTTACATCACTCAGCATCCACAGTAAAGCTGTAACTATTTCTCTTATCCAGCAAACATAAAATCAGACAACTATCATGCTGCAGTCATTGTGCAGACCCGGGCCGCAATGACAGAGAAGAGTTTAGAGAGGGAGATAGACACTTGGCTAATATCTGACCTTATTTACACCTATGCCACCCCAATACCAGGCAGAACGGCTTAGGGGGCAGCAGGCTCAGCAGCACTCCCAACAGGCCCCAGTTTACAGAGGTGGGGATGTGACTGTGCCTGCAAACCACCTAGCCATGCTCCTTTGGTGCTAGAAGAAGCTACGTCTAGGCACATTATCCAGGCCCTATGTAGCACCCAGTGGTGCCCATTCTCTCTGGCAGGTTTCCTGGGGATGGGAAAATCACCTCTGCCCCCCGGACACTCACACAAGATGAGGCAAATTTAGCCCTTTGCCATTATCCATTTACTGTCTTCATGTCATCCTGCTCCCCCTGTTGTGCCTTCAGTGACACATCCTACAATTCCCACAGCTGGGAATCCCCTCTTCTCACTCTGTTCTTCTATCAGCCATATGTCACTAATCATCGGCTCCTAGTCACTGAATTCCCTCAGCCTGTCTCTAAAGCTGCTGTCGGATCAGTTAGCAGCACAGCGCTCCTGAAAGCGTGTGCTCATTTCCTCAGCCCTGGCACTGCAAAGGCATTTCACACTGGACAGACCCCAGGCCGCAAGCCTCAACTCATCTTTCCAAAGGAAATTTAAAAGTCATTATGGGCCCTGCCATGCTATAGGTGTATGCAATGGTCCATCTAGCCCAGTATCCTGTCTACTGACAGTGGCCAGTGCCAGATGCTTCAGAGGGAATGAACAGAACAGGTAATCATCAAGTGATCCATCCCCTGTCGCCCATTGCCAGCTTCTGGCTGTCAGAGGTTTAGGTACACCCAGAGCATGGGGTTGCGTCCCTGACTATTTTGGGTAGGAGCCATTGATGGACCTATCCTCCAGGAACTTACCTCATTCTTTTTTTAACACAGTTGTACTTTTGGCCTTCATAACATCACCTGCCAATGAGTTCCACAGGCTGACTGTGTGTTGTGTGAAGAAGTACTTCCTTGTGTTAGTTTTAAATCTGCTGCCTATTAATTTCATTGGGTGACCTCTGGTTCTTGTGTTACGTGAAGAGGTAAATAACACTTTCCCTTCACTTTCTCCACATCATTTGTGATTTTATAGATCTCTTTTCTATCTCCCCTCAGCCGTCTCTTTTCTAAATTGAACAGTCCCAGTCTTTTCAATCTCTCCTCAGATGGAAACTAAGGGTAGGGCTACATAGCAGCTGGGAGGTGTGATTCCAAAGATAGGCAGACAGTCACGTGCTAGCTTACCTCAAGCTGGCCTGCTAAAAATGGCAGTGTGACTGGCGCAGGACAGAATAGCCGCCTGTGTGCAATCCTGTCCGACCCCCAAGTGCATACTCTGAAGGCTAGCCAAAGCTGCCAGCCATGCTGCACTTCTATTTTTTGGCACTAGCCTGAGCAGAGCTAACACGGGTATGTCTACCTATGCTGGGAATTACACCTGCCAGCTGCTGTGTAGACATTCTAAGAGACTCCATCCTAGGGGAAGGCTATCCCTGTGGTTAAAGCACAGGGCTGGGGTTCAATTCCTAACTCTGCCACAGACGTCTTGGGTGACCTTAGGCAAGTCCCGTAGGAGCACATTTTCAAAAGAGCTCAGGGCCAGATTTTCAAGAGACTTCAGCTCCCATTTGGCCACCAAAATAAGGGCCAGGTTTGCAGACGCGCTCAGCACCACACAGCTCTCATTGTGACTCCTGTGCCCAGTGTTTCAGCGGAGCCGATGTGGAAATGTGCCCCACCTGCTGGTGTGAAGCTGGTTTTAAAGAATTCTGTCCTCAGTCCCTCTGTGCCTTCCCCACCCCAGCACTTTGGCGACTGTGCTGTGCACATCTCTGCAAACAGCTCTGCAAGGCACAAGTTATTTCTAAACCTTTTCTGGGTAGAGATGCCAAGTGCACTCTCCCCTCCTATGCTCTCCTGCAGAGCTCCCTCAGGAGGGCCGGATAAGCAGCTTAGTTTGCCTCAGGCCAGCAGCTCCTTCCTCTAGGCAGGAAAAGGGGTCTTTTGTCTTCCCCTCCCATACTCGCTCTGCAGAGTGGCACGATCAGCCCCTTTCCTCTCCCCAGAGATTTTTTGGGCAAAGAGCCATGAATCTGGTTTCTGGCATGAGTCTGGGGTTGTTTGGGAAGGACAAGGCAGGAGCAGGTTAGAGTTCAAACAGGGCTCTTCTGTCTTCACAGGCAAGGCTGCTCTTATCAGCAGGAAGCTTTTGGTTGTTTAAAATGAGCAGAGAAAGAGATAGGACTTTGTGGGCTAAGCATTCATGCTGGTTAAGGAGGCTTTTGGCTGGGGGAGACGGTGGGTGTGTGGAGGCCTATAGCATCTTCCCACCTTCTAGTTCTTTCCTTTCCTCCCTCTGCATCCTGAAACATGCCACTTTTTAGCCAGCCCTCTCCCTCCAGCTAAGGAGAGCTGGATACATTTCCTGTCCGCAACTGGTGGAGACGCTCTGAGCGCTGAGAGTGAAGGAAAAATCATTCAGGCCTCTCCTGGGCCCTCAGAAGCATCGACCCAAACCCAGCATGTGATCTTGGATCTCCATCATCTGGGCCAAGATCTTGAGAATTTTGGGGGCATATACAGGTAAGGCTAGCCCCCGTGGTCTCTCCTTCAAAGACAGAGGCCCTCTGCACACCCATTCTAAATCCTGACCCAACGGATGGGGATTCTTTGGAAACTTGGGACCCTTAGGGCCCAGTGTTAGCTCTGTGCCTAGTTTCACTGTAGCTAGATTTATTCCTAGTCTGCATAGTCTGCAACTGCTCACTGCAACAAATCCCCTTGTTGTGCCCTTTAATATGGGCTTGTTAAAATTCGTTTTGAGAACTACCCTGTTCCAGCAGCAAACACAAAGATCAGCATGACCTCTCCTTATCACTCAGCCTTTCCTGTGTGGAATTCGTTGTGATCTGTGCCCTAGTGATTATTGCATCACTTCTGTTTATTTGTAACCTTTGGCACTCCCTAATCTTATCTTGCGGCTGCTGACTGCAATGCAAGAGATGTGCAGCAGTGTAGCTAGCTTTAGCCATCCTCAAACACTGGAATGGGCCATTTAAGTGGAGGTCAGTAAATGATTAGCAAAGAGGGCCTGCAATCACTGCCAGGTGAAAAGAAATCAAACTTCTCCACTACCATTAAAAAAGGCAAGATTTACATTTCCTCCTGTGGCACTTACCAATCACAATAAGGGTATAGTTCACACTCGTACTGCCAAAGCCGTTGGTAGCCTTGCAGATGTATGTTCCCGCGTCTTCACTTTCCACCTCCTTGATTTTTAGTCCTTGCTGCAGGATCCGGAACCTTGTCCAGCCACTGTGGATAGTCCGTCCATCTTTCATCCACATAGTCAGAGGTGGTGGGTCACCTTCTACCGGACACAGGAGCTTGATGGTTCTTCCTAACCTCACGGTCTGCCGGTGGATCACTTTATCAGCAATTCTGGGTGGGCCTAACAAAGAATGGGAAAGAAAAACAATAATTAATATGATCAGAACTAGTTCTATCGCAGTAGCATCTAGAAGCCACCGGTCATGAAGAGGGGCCCTGTACAAACATAACAAAAGTTACTTATTGAAAAGAGATTACATCAAAGTGGAAAAAACAGACAACAGACAGATACAACTAAGAAAATACCACCAGCCCATAGAGGGTTTGAATCCAGAACTTAGACATTCTTACCACATTGCTCTAACCAACTGCATTAACCTGCCAATGGCAATCAGCTGTATTTCTCTCTTCCTCCCTCCCCAGCCCCGGACCTCACCCACCACTTTTCTATGTCATGGGGACCTGGTTCCCAGATACCCAGATCACTGGTTGTTTTAAGCATAACGAATCCTGAAGCCAAAATTCGTAACAGCATTGGTCCTTAAAACAAGGAGTTATAATCCTTTTATGTTTATATGTATAGCAATTCCCTTTAATAGTCACCAGATGGGCTTTGTCAGCAGCAGGAATCATAAGAATACACTAGAACGGTTCTAGGACACAAAGAATTTGCTGGGCAGCATTTACTTAACGACAAGGTACAGGATATCCTGACATGTTAACATCGCCTACATGCAAAGTGATGAATTTTCGGGATATTTTTATCCATTGCCTCGACCTTCCCTTGACAAGTTCATTGGACTGGCCTGACTGCTGAATGTTTCCTGCTGGTACAAGGCGATAGTTTCATGCATAACAAGGTGTCCTGGAATGTGACAACATGAACATACTGTGCTGCATGATGATAACTACAAGGCTGGGGTGGGAGAGTGATAAGGTCTCCCACACCGTCAGCTGTCCCCCAGTTACAGAACCAAATTCAAAGCCAAAATGTTCAAATATGTTACTTTATTTAATTAAATAATTGTCTTTATTGGATTCATTGATTTATGAGCTTCTATAGCCCCTACCAGTATAACAGCCAGCCTCTTTCTCAGAACATTTAAAAAACAGCCGTGGTCAATAAGTGCCCTGTTCCTGCATAAGGACACACCTGTTTTAATGGGGTCTGATGACTTGAGGTGCTGAGTGACCTCAATCCCCACTGGGCTTCAATGGGTTTGAGGCTGCTCACCATCTCACAACAGCGGCTTAGAGGACCTGACCCCTATGGGATCTGTGCTGGAGTCCTTTCTCATGGTTGTACGCATTTCTTTATAAGAGCAAATCCTGTTACTGCCATGAGACTATCTGCATGAGTGTTCATCATCGTGAGTAAAGCAGGCTCCATAGTGACTAGGGGTGAGATTCTCTCATGCTTACTCATGCTGGTGGGTCCCATTGACTTCAGTGGGACTGCAGATGGGTTAGGCTGCTATTCAAAGTGAGTAAAGGTGTCAGGAGCTAGCCCTAAAATAATGAATCGGTTTAATCAAAAGCCTGATTAAGTCAATGAAAGGCTTCATATCAGGCCCTGGAATTCAATAGATTTGGGCTCTGGTGAACTGCCAAGAGTGAGCAAGTCCCAAAGGCTGGGACCCTCACCTGAGAGCTCCAGTCCTGGAAAGCCGAATTCCAGGTGATGGTAGTTAGAGCACACCTCAGCCGTCACCTGCTGTAGGCAGGCCAATAGGAGAAGTGGTCTCTTAAGTAACATTGCCCCCCTGATTCCAGAAGGGATGTCAAAATACCATAAGAAATGCTGCCATTGTGTGTTTCCAGCAAGGACCTTAAGGACTAGAAGTCTTGCAAGCAAAGCCCTTCTTGTGAGACACTCAGAAGTCCAGTCAATTTTTGCAAACTGCAAACGTTTGGACACTTTGGAGAAGCTTCAGAGAGTCATCAGAACTTTTGGAGGCTGATCTGAGTCTAACATTTCCGGGATTCACCCACTGTCAGTGATCAGTTATGGGCATAGGCTTTAATGGAGCTACACTAGCTGAGGACCTAGCCCCAAGTTCTGTGACCCAACCTCACATGGCGTAGTACCTTATTTCATGAGTAAGGGGGGCAAAATCCACACAAGTTTACACGCTAGCTGACATCTTGCATCAAATTTTAGAGTCCCCTTTTAAGTTAAAGGCAGACTCTGCCACTTTACTCAAACTGAGTCGAACCTCAACGCCATGAATTACCACACTGAAATCAACTGCAGAGCAAGGTACTACTCAAAGTGAGCATGGGTGTCAGAAAGTGGCTTATAAGTACTGTTAGGGAAGAATGTGTGGTGTAGGGCAACTGGGGACAGTGGAGGGGGAATCAGGCCCTCCCAGCAGTGTCTTCTTCAAAAACCTTTTCCTTCCAACATTCAACTTGACTCCTGACAAATTTTTAGGCTGGGAGGAATGAGATAGTTTCCCAGTGGCGTCATGCGGCTTGTTGCAGGCAGACTGCACATGCGGTTCTCCTGATGGCAAGTGGAATTGACTCTGGATCTGTCACATGACTCGGTTAGTGATAAGCTTGGTCCTCCCGAATGCCATTTTTTCCTCTGACTGACCTTTCATTCTGAGGAATTTTTGGATCGCTCCACTGTCATAAGATCTATACGCAGACCTTTTTGGTGGTTTAAAACACATGGGAGCCTTTCCCAGAGCCTTTCCTGCTTTAAAAAAAATCCCTGTGCTGTCCTTTAAACCCACCCCACTTTTAAATTTGCCCCTCAAGTGCTTTCTCTCCCCCCACACCTCCCATATTATGAGGAGGAATTAAAATGTCCAATTTCTTTGCAGCTATGCATTTCCCTGGGTGCAGCTCCACGCTATTCTCAGAAGGATGCAATTCCAGGGCATGGAGGCGTCCAATGCAAGCTAAAAGCATGTCCCTATGTGTTTGATAAACAGTCCCATTTTATTACCTAGCCTCATTATTAACAATAAAAACAACTCTCTCTGTAAGCAGCACTCTCTCTCTGGAATCATCATGTACCACAAGCTTCAGAGGCCCTCACACGCTCAAGGCTGTCACCGTGCTGCAGAGAGCTGGACCTCCTAGAGAGGTTTATGGCAGAATCACATGTTGGTGTTCTGTCAGGGGTCTCTGTATCTCTTTTTAACATGCAGGAATCTACTGGGTCTTATTTCGCTACATATTTGCCTTGGGACTGCAATGGTGACGGATGAATGCTTTTCAAGTTGAGATGCACTTTGGCACACCTCTCAGCAATGTTTGTACTTTGGTATTTTTGGGGAGGAGATAGGGAGGGGTAAAACATATTTTGCAGAGGGACCACCTGGAACCTCTCATATGCACTGAATTCCAGTTACACAGACTCTATTGAGCTAGGCAGTTTGAACCATTTTACTGTCGAGATCTCAGCTTCCCAACAGAAATGAAATCTCTTCTCTAAAAAGGTATATTTAAAAAGCCCATAGCTGATCATGTGCTGCTTGGGAGTAGCTAAGTCCTGCTTCTATCTGACAGTTCAAGTGCAGTGCAGTTCCATCTTCCGTTAACTGAGCACCGAATCTAGACCTGGCGAATAACGGATTTTTCAGTTTGTGGCCAATTTTGAAAAAAAAAGTGCGGGGGGGGGGGGGGGGGAAGAGTGCGCATAATTTTGGGTCAAGCCTAAAACAAAAACTTCTTCAAAATGTTTGGCAAGTTGAAAAGTAATAAATAAATAAATAATTTGGGGTCAAATGAAAGATTTTGTTTGAACCAAAATGAAGCATTTTATTTTGATTTTAGTATTTTAATGTAGTTGAACTGAAAGTTGTTTAGAATCATAAAATGTCAAAATGAATTATTTCCGTTCTTTCAGGAATTTGGGTCCCCTCCCCAGAACAAACAATTTGGTGAAAAATGACACCAATTCACAAAACGGCTTGGTGTTGTTGAATCTTTGTTTTCCATCAGAAAATAATTTTGGTTGAAAAGTTTTGCCCAGTCTAACTGACTCCCCTCTGTAAGCCTTGTTTTGCTGAGTTCACGGCCCTGGTCACTAATGGAAGGGGACGCTAAGGAATGCTGTAACAGTGCCTTACCTCGCACCCCACAAACAATTCAGCAACTGGCCTAGTTAGGGATTTGAGAGGATCAGCAGCAAGAGATAAACTGAGACAGCACCACAGATGATTATCTTATCTTCCTTAACTGCAGACAAGGAGTCTGATCCTGCAAGGTGCTGCTGGGTGCTTCCAAGAGGTGCTGAAATCCCTGTATCCCCATTACAGTCAATGGGAGCTGAGGGTACTCAACCCTTTCCAGAACTGGTCCCTACAAGAATCCGGCGCAACGTATGCCAAATGCTGTTGGCGTGAGAGCCTTCTCCTCTGCAGCTCCTGCAGTGGGGAAGAGACTAGATTAGGCTTTGTCTACACTAGCAAGTGAAAGACAAAACTTTTGTTGTTCAGAAGTGTTAAAAACACACACACCCACTCTGAAAGACAGAAGTTTTGATGACTACCACCAGCGTGAGCAGCACAACAACACTAATGCCACGCGTTGGGGGTGGAAGTTTTTTGTCAGCAGGAGCGCTCTCTGTCGACAAACCGCGCTACACTGTGCACCTTTGAGCAGCACAGCGGTAATGGCACAGCTGTGTCGCTAAAAGCTGTGTCATGTAGACATTGCCTATCTGTTCTGACTTCTCCCTCTTTATCTTTCTTTTCTACTTGTTCTTTCCCCTTCACTCCTCTTTCTCCTCCTCCAATGGGTTGGGGCAAGGGGCAACGGATTCTTCCTAAAAGTAGGGGGGCCATGAGGCCCCACCCCCTCCATGGCCCTGCCCCTTCACTTCCCCCAAGGCCTCAGCTCCCAGCCAAGCCAGAAGCTGGAGCTGGGCCGGGAACCCAGGTCCTTCCACCTGTCAGGGGAGGGGGAGTCAAGAGAAGCCTCCCAGGTGCCCCACAGCTGCCCGGGCTGCTCTTACCTGGGTGGGGCTCCAGCTTCTGGCTGACTGGGGGGGGCGTGGCCTCAGGGGGAAGAAGAAGGGCCTGGGGCCAGACCCGTGGCGAAATGTGGACGTACCAGGCCCATCTACTTTCAAAAGTGGGAGGGCGATGGCCCCTGCCCCCTCCC